CATTTGATTAGCAGCACCTGGCTGCTACTTAGCCTCCATACCTATGGAACCAGTAAGGGTGTACTTAGTTTTTCACACATGGCTTCTCCCCTTTGGCTTTCTTTTTTTAAAATAAATGATGACATGGTGTAATATGTGTTGTTGTTCATCTGAGGTTGTATTTACCTACTTTTGAGAACTGCTAAGGATCAGATGATTTTTATTATGCCCTGATATGTAAAACCACAGAACTCAAAGAGGGTGTACTTTCTTTTTCACACAACTGTATAGGTATGTATGTACAGGCAGTCCTCAAGTAACAATGGTAATTGGGACTGGAATTTCCATTGCTAAGCAATGCAGTCATATGAAGTCACACGACCGCATCGCTTAGCAACAACAATCCTGGCAGTCCCCATTGCCGTCTTTAGCCAAATCCCACAAGTCATTAGGCAAGGACCTACCCTGATCCAAGCAATTCATGGCTTGGTCCCTCCCAGCCCCAAGCTTTGGTAAGGCCTATCTCCCCTTCAACTCTGCCCTTTTGGCTGCCCTGCACAGCGGCATTCCTTGGTGGCCACAGCAGTGCTGGGGCTGAAGTAGAGGCCCAGAGCCTTTAGCAGTCTCAGCCAACTGCCACCTTCCCCAAGCCTTTACTTCAGCTCCAGCGTTGCTGCCACTGAGGGGTGACATTGTACAGGGTGGCCAAAAGGGCAGAGATGAGGGGGAGTTGAAGCACCCCTACTGTCATACTGGGTAGGCTGCCAAGCATCTAAATCTTGATCATGTGACTGCAGGGGTGCTGCAATGACTGTATCTTTGGGGACTGGGCATAAGTATTGTTCTTTCACTGCAGCCGTAACTTTGAATGGTTACTGAACGAATGTTGCTAAACAAGGACTACCTGTATGGCCAATGGAACATAAGTCTAAAAGCATGACCAATTTAATAGTTTATAACGAAGAACAAATAGAATTAATGAAAGATAAAAGGTGATGACAGGTTTTGAATTTGGGGCAGACCAATTTTTGGTAGCGTCAACGGCTGTTTTTGGGAAAAATTGACATGGAAGGAAAAAAGTGAAAAAAATGAGAATGAAAGTAGAATAACTGCAGAAATAAAAAGTACAACCCTATATGAAAAAGTATTAGAACACACATTAATCTCCCAACATTATGAGTAGTAAGTGGACGTTAGGAAAGAGGATATAAGAGCTAATAGAACAAAGTGAAAAAAATTATGTTACAGAGGACCATAGAAGCATGTGAAGTTTAGAAAATGCGAAGTATGAAAAAGGATGCTTTGTGGAATGATGAAGCGAAAGAGGCTATGGATGAGAGAATACACATAAACAAGAATGACTGCTGCCAAAAATTAGGATATGAGAAAAATACTGTATAGCATATATACAGGTAGTCCCTGGGTTAAGAATGCCTGGTTTAAGGATGGCCCATAGTTAAGAACGGAGTCTACCGCAGCAAAATTCGAGTTAAATACACATTGGTTCAAGTTCATTACACAATACTACTTATGCAGTATTATACAATAATACTGTTCTGGCTCACATACAAATTCAACTTCAGGACAGACATTGGGAACAGAACTCATTCTTAAATTGGGGACTACCTGTATTGAGAAAAAGATAATGGCAAAGAATATAGATGAAGAAAACAAGAAAGAGTTACAGTGAAAAGAAGGAATGAAAATGCAAAGCAATTTTTATGGAAAAATAAAGGAGCAGGCAAATTCTGGAAGGAGTATTTT